CCCCAAAACCCCAAAACCCCAAAACCCCTAGAAAATTTGATATTGTAGAAAATTTGTAAAGATAAAGCATAAATATTGTTTTGATGGAGAACAAAGGAATTGATTGTCTCATTTGATATGGAGAGTATGAGAACAAACATGCAGGAATTAGCTGCTCCCAAGATAATTTTTTATGCCATGACTGATTTGGGAATATGGCTCAAGACATGTTTGAACACAGTCAGACCAAAATCCCTGCAAAGTGCTTTGAATGTCAAGAGGAACTTAACAAAAATCAAGTACTAAAGTTGATGAATCCAATCAAAGTTGGATTGTACAAACGATACTGTGCAAGAACTGAGATTGACTCGAAGAGCCAGAGAGTACAAAAGTTACCATACTGTACTTACTACGAAATATGGGACATCAACAATAACTCCCACATCTTTTATTGTCAAGGAGACAGCTTAAGATAGGTCTGATGTTTTGTCTGCTACAACAAACTCAAAGTAATGTGTCCTTCTGATTTATAGATTGCTTCTTCTTCCAAAGACAGAGAGAGCTCTGAAGTTCAACAAGAAGTGCTGTCTCATTCTAAATGAGGTGCATTCCTATACATGCAGACTGACTGGTAGACAGCTATGAGTCACGGACAGCAAAGAAAGTGTCTTGGATATGGACTTGGAGGCACAAAGAACGAAGATTGTACCAAGATGACTTGCTGCAGCTGAAGTACTTTGTGGTGTTATATCTGAGGCATGAGTGAAGCCCAAGTTGAAAGAAAAAGCGTTGATTCAAACTTTGGCCAACATTTTGTAGGTTGGGAAACAAATTCTAAAAGATGTCCAAAGAAGTTTATTTACATTACAAAAGTTGATATAAGATGGAATTCAGAAAATGAAGAAACAAACACAGAGTACTTTCATAAAATCCTCCAATATAAGGCAGTGAGAGAATTCTTCTCAAAGCATACAGAAGAGCAATTCCAGAATTTGTGTGAGATAGCCCCTGAAGCTAAAGACTATTCAGATAAAATAAGAAGTAATGACAATGGATCTTGAATTGATAAAAAGATAATATAATAAAACATTACCAATAAAACATAATCTACATCAATTAAGTAAGATTACCAAGGGGTTTTGGGGTTTTGGGGTTTTGGGG